TAGCAGAAAGATCAAGTGACAGAAGAAGCTGCGAGCTCACCCAAGTTCTCCACAGCACAAGACGGTCCAGGTGCCTTCCCATCGTCGTGACTCTCGATCTGAAACTTCTGACGTCAACCTGGATATTGTTAAATCATTGGCAAACAACAGTCATTCGAGATGAATCTTATTATGTGCATGAATTTAGTATTGAATATTACTTACACTTTTTCTGAGTCTCTCGAAGGGCCTCTGTGAGCTCTTCCTCTTCTTGCCTTTGCCTTTCCTTCTTTTCACACATCCTTGTATGGGACATTATCCCATGCACTGGCATTGTCGCACCACATATTTGGCACAAGACATCTTCTGAAGCCTGGGGCATGAGAAAATATACCACAAATCTATGGTACAAACAGTAGTAGAACAGTTAGAAGTAGATTAAAAGAGGCAGGATATGTGCAATGGTCAACCTGGTCAATCAGTGACAATGAAATGGATCGTGATCGTATTGAAACTCAGCTCAGATATCTATAATCGGATTCTAATGATGATTATGATAGCAATTACAATGTGATTTTAACGGCCAGTCAGTAGATTAAAACATGTGAGCATTTTGATGCTGCCAGGAAATTTCCAACATAGCCTTAGCTCTACATGGACAAACCACAAACTGGTACAGCTATCCAGGAGGAATGGCCAGCCTTAGATCTACATAGAATGGCTGCACACTGGCTAGCATCAATTCTACAGCCTTTTTTCACATCTGGGGCCTTGATTCTATGTACAAAATGACTGAAGGGTCTGACTGGCTATCTACTTATTTTTACCCTTGCTTATTTCTACTTATTGCACGAGGAAAGTGAAAAATAATTAAGGTAAGGAGCCAGGTGTTTTACTGATGCATGTGGTTTTTTAACTAAGATCAATATTTTTCATCATGAAGAAATAGAAAAAACTGGAACATTTCGTACGCCACAAAACTGTGGATTTTATTTTAATCTCTTTTGGAATTTTATCAACATTTCCACCATGAAAAAATCATCCATGTTGCCAGTATCCGAGTGAATGTCACTCAGTAGTGGTGACTAAATGCCATGTAGGTCAAGGGAATGTCAATCTCTAGCTACATGTATCACAGTTGCCAAGTATAATATACCGTTAGCCTCGGATGTCAAGCTGCAGCAACTAGTAGGCAACGAAGATAAGAAATATATTATACTGCACTGCTATAACAGATGGTAGCGTAGATGATCCATGATCCTTCATCAGTAAACCACTTTGCACTGTGCAGCGCTGTACAGCGCTGTACAGCGTGCAAGCGCTACAGCTTGGTCCCAATTAGCCAGTCCATCACAGCGACACCTTGCGCTGTGAATCTCTGTACAGACACCTACAGACCGCCCAGTAATTACGAAAATCTACTTGAATTGCAAATTTTTTCGCTGTCCATCTCTGTACAGACACCCACAGAGCACTCAGAGACCCGGAGCTGTACAGACATTTGCTTGCTGTACTGCTTACACACACTGGACAACACAAAAATTTTAAAACAAAAAAACAAAACCAATATATTGAATCACATGACCACGACAAACAGTAAATACAATGATACGTGCGCCAAACACGATAAATGCTTGATATAAACTGGGGAGCGGGAATACGAAGCTTTTAGTCAAGAAGAATCTGCAGGTGGTCGTGTCTGGCATCAACAACTCCTTCGAGATTCATAGCTGCAGCCCTGTACAAATGAAAATCAGTAAAAAAATTATCAGAGAGAAAAGATCCTCACCATCCCGCTGCAGCCCATTCTCGCAGTTGAGCTGACAGCCTAGGCCCATGATACGCATCCTCAAGGATATGTTTGAGCAATTCGAGCATCCGACAATAGACGGGGCCGTAGTCCTTGGTGGAAAAGTTTGGGTATGACTTCCCATGTCCGTTTTTCACAAGACCGTCGAAGACACAATTGAACTAGTTTCAAGACAGAAAATTAACACATGACATTGGCGAGGGAGACGAAATTACCGCCGCAGCAACCAAAGCCAAACATGAGAGTGGCAATTCCGTGCTAAAGGTCTCCGGCATCCTTCGTGCAATTCGATATGGTCCTGTGTAAAAGAATGTGATGACGGCTTCACGAAGGGCGGGATGAGCGAAGTTTCGTGTTCTCCCCTAGAAATCTTCCATCAGTAGAGTTGCGATCACCACAAGATCACTTACCTGATCGTCCACCCCAAAGCGTAAGAAGAATGCTTCCTTGATCAATTCAGCAGCAGTGTGCTCGACCCAAGCAGCACGTTCCTGAACGGGGACAGAAAGCGGAGGAATAAGCGAATATGATACTGGTGCAATGCTTATGGCTGTTTTCTTCAAGTCAGATCGCCAAGTCGAAAGATCATCGTACAGCTTTAATACAGACTGTCAACGAGATATTGGCACAAAGTCAGTTATGCACGCACCAACCGAGTCATATTAAATTTGTGTTCTGGCCAAACCCCTGCATCAGAATATGACATATTAGTTCGAGAACGAATGAGAACGAACAAGTGCCTACCAGCTTCAAATTGTTTACCGTTCGTATCCCACACAACCAATACTGCAATGAGAACTTCAGTGATTGTTCCTGGAAGATTCTTCACCAAAGTTGGAAACGGGTTCTCCAGGGCGTGTTGCGCGCGACATTCTACTTTGGCGTCCTCCAAGAAACTTTTCCAGCGTGGTCCGTACCAAGATAATTGATCGGGTGTTGGCCCACCACACGATGACCTAGACTTTTTGTTTTTCAATGGCTGAACATCACACTCGGACACTTGATTCAGCAGTTCGAGGGATTCAGGATCAGGAAGACGGGGCTTTCCGTTTTTCTTATGATGGCGTTGTAGTACATCGTCAGGCTTCGAGGTGATGGTCTGCTCGATGGTGAGTGTCAATTAAAATGGTCTCCCTGATCTCACCTCAATGAGTTGGGATGCTTGCCGCCGCGGTCCTGGTGAGATATCCGGAGGGTCCTTGAAAGAAAGGCAATGGTAAGCATGATACAATTGAACGATATGGCCATACCTGAGAGCTTTCGTTCCGCTGGATTAACAATATAAAATGAGAGTTACTCCCGGCTTGAGCAGAAAACTTACCGAGGTTTTATCAAGGCTCGTCTGGGCAACTACATCATCTTCATCGCGTGAGTACTGGAACTGAATTTCAGGTGTGAGAGGGCGAGCGACTGGAGATTGCGAAGGTGGTACATCCTCCACAAACCCTATAACATTGAATTAGTGAAGCGAAATCACACGACGAGAATGTGTACCTGGGTGTTCTTTCTGGCGTCGGCCAGCCTCCCCCCAACCAAACTGCTGTGAGCTCTTGACCGTATCATCATTTCCCCCCTCCTCCTCGTCATCCTCTCCGCTGTCCTCTTCATCAGCATCTTTATCATTGCTATCATCGCTGTCATCACTGCTACAGTCTTTAGAGTCACTGTCATCAGATTCAAACGACGTCAGACGACGCTGAGCCCTAACAGTGTCATCATGCTGACGTAGGGCTGGATCTAAATTCTCCTCCCGAAAGACGGACCTTGGCAAAACCACTGGATATTCAGAGACAGCGTTCTGGGTATGTCGCTCAGCAATTGCATCCCGAGTTCGCTTCTCAGCGATAGCGTCCCGAGCTCGTTGCTCGGCAATGGCGTCTCGAGCTCGTTGCTCGGCAATGGCGTCTCGAGCTCGTTGCTCGGCAATGGCATCTCGAGCTCGTTGCTCGGCAATGGCATCTCGAGCTCGTTGCTCGGCAATGGCGTCCCGAGCGCGCTGCTCAGCGTCCTTCACCCCAATGGTGACATGCGGGTTGTGCAATGCCTGAATATTGGGCTGGGCAGTACCGGAATGAGCTATTTCTGTTGGAGCAACAAATCCAAACCTTCCACCAGGTTGCTGGGATGTAAAGCTGGGCCCTGTGGCGATAATGTCCTTGGCTGGGGCATCTGGAGCATCCCTAACGAGTGAGCTGTAGGGTGGAGGAACTGCCTACGAAACAATCAATATGAGTAACAGAATTAATTGGACGCCTACCTTTGAATGATTCTTTCGACCTCTACGACGCGGTTCTGGGGCTTGAGGATTGACTGGAACATTGAGACCAAGGGATGTTGTACCCTTACGTTCTTGAGTCCGAGGCTTGGATTGCAATACTGATCCAATCTTCTCCAGTTGTGCATTCCTACCTCCAGTTCCCGCGTTAGGGCGACCAGAACGCCGGGGAGCATTTTGTTCCGCTTCTGCTCCAGTCAGGCCAAGGGACACGAGGGGTACCGTGCTGGGTACCTCAGCAATGTCTGCAGCCCGAGACTTCTTTGGCAAGCCGGCCTTTGAAGCATCGGATCCTTTGCGCTTGCCAGATCGTTTCTTCTTAGGACTGGCGATGGCACGAGGAGGCATGACTGTAATGAAGAACAGAGGAAGAAGTGACTCTGATAAATTATCCCAGACTTACGATGATTTTATACCATGGCTCATCCGTGTACTAATACTTAATAGCCGTATGGGTAGCGAGAGAAAAGTTTATCATTAATAAGAATGATAGTAATAAAGAAACATACCACCATGAGGATTGTTACTATCACGTCGTACTCCGAATCGATTCGCATGACTAGCGTGAAAAAACCTTCGTCGTTGGTAATGGTACTCATAAGAGAAATTGCCGATCACGTAAGCAAAAATGCTACACATAACATGAATCGTACCAGAACCTACTAGTAGTGATACTATATCAGATCCTGGTGTACTACTAGTATCTTGATTGTAAAAAGATAAACGCTTGAAAAAAGCTTGAAAAAGAACGATATAGTCAGAACAACAATATCATAGGTACCGGTCAGTGAACTATAGTAAAAACGCAACATACTAATAGTACAAGCCAGCGAGATTCTAGAAATACTACTGCTAAAGTTAAACATGTCATTCATACTAAGTCAGTGAAGAAGAAAAATAGCTGAATATGTGTAATGAGTAGGCTTCACCTCCTGGTCATGCGTCACTGCCCGATGCTGAGTCAGACTCGGTATCACTATGATGAGACTTTTGCCGCTTGGGTGCTACTACAGAGGGAGGGTCTGAAGCAATCCGTTTGCCCTTAACATGTTTCGTGAGAATGGCAGCATCATTCCTGAGCATGTCCACAGCAGATACGAGCTCCTCGTCGTCGGGGAGTTTGTCGAGATGAGAGTTGAGTACAGCGAGAATGGTGTCGAAGGTAACGGGGTGGATCATGTTGTCCACCAGAACTCTACGCCACTCTACTGCGAGGGGGATCAGCTGCTTGAAGTACGGGTGAAATTGGTCTGTGAGACGCTTTTCCTCTCCTGGATAAGCGAAAAAGGTGATCTTGAAGGCTGCGCACGATCCCAGGTCAAGGCTGGTCCAACGATCCACCAACGAATTGGGCAAGCGCTCCCGCACCATACCGTTGGGACCACAAAACTTGATGCAAACCCAAGCGAACACGAAAAAAGGGACTCCAGGTCATCCGCATAGCCTTGGATGACGTATGATACAGGTAGCGCCAGAGAATCAGAGGATGATTTCGGGGTTTTTGGTTTGTCGACTGAATTGCGTCCCCGAGTCTCTTTCTTCTTCGCCGTCTTCTTCCTCTTCGATTCCAGGTCCGCCTCCTGCTGCAGGACCACATATTGATTGAGAAGTCCGCGTGACATGAAAGGGACTGTGCCCTGGCAAATCAATTAATGAACTGAATATTTAATGAATAAGGTGTACTTACTGTACCGCCAATAGGATATTTATGATCCGAGGCAATCCGAACAGCAAACTCCCAGTCAATAAGAAACCCTTCACTACCTTCAGGTTCGTCTAGGATCATCGCGTTGTTGAGACTACAGTCCCGATGCAAAATCTGACGTTCCTCCACCGCAGCTTGTTGAACTAACATCAAAGAGTATCAGTCCAAGACACCTGTACCCCAAAGTACTAAAAACTTACTCTTAACGATATCCCTTAGTGCCCGCACAAACTCCTTCAGTGTTCGGAACATGTGAAGGGGGCGACCACATGGCTTCAAGACAAGACGTACATGAGTACGACTAGTGCCCCTGGTACTCCGGCGTTCTTTCTGCCGATATTTTCAGGTAACATCGGGATCACCATCTGACTGTTCAACGACCCAATGATCCACCAGCTTTGGAACGCCAGGGAGGCCATCCATCAATTCCAGCATCTTGATCTCGTTCAAGACTACATTGTCGTCCTTGCCTACAACCCAATGGTCTTTTATTATGTAGTCTTCATCGTCTAAAGTTGCCAAATAGCAAACGGTTCCGCGACCAACAAGACCTCGGCTCGCAAAAATGATTCTTCTTATAGTGTAGACCTTCTGCCCTACACGGATTTTACCGCAAGGTTCAGGTGATTGAGCAGAGTAAGGGAATTGGGAAGGGAGAGGGGTGACAGAATAGATGCTCTCGGTCATCTCAGCCTGGGGCATTTGGGATGCGAGGCTGAGAAGGGGAGCACTACGGGTTGCAGTGGGGTGCACTGGGAGGGAGGGGGGTGGGAAATGCTCTTCGTCCATCGAGTAATGTGTAGCGGAACCGCTCGGACCTTCTTCCGTCGAGTCAGAGTCACTAGAGTCACTAGCGACTACTGATTCAAGGGCATCACTGGACGACACTCCATCAGGATCCTCGGGAAATGGAAGGGAGGAAGTGGATACGGCAACAGTACAGTCCGTCGTACTTGGTCGGGCAGGAGCGTTTCTAATGGGACGATAGCAGTTGATATCTTTGAATCGGGGTGGTGAAACAATCTTTGAGAATGAGACTGTCGGATCATAGCCGACGCACTCTAGACTCCCGAAATTGATGGCAGTGATTATATGTGAAAATATGTCCGGTTGTTGGTAAATATCGAAGCGAGGAGACACGGCGCCACCAGAGTGATCATACATTAGGACTCTAAGGTGGCGATATTCATCTGTGAATGATAATATGAGAGCAAAGCGCCTCCATGGCTGTTCACTCATCATAATATAGGCATGAGTATCTGCAGCCTTCCCGAGTCGCATCGCAGGCCGGTATCGACTGTGAGTGAGTTTGGCTGATACCCTGATGTTCCCCCACTTTGCCGATATATCGTCAGATAGAACGAGATCTGGCTTCCGCTTGATGTCGCTGCCAGGTAATGCCTTCTGTGCACTGGCTGCGCTCCATGTGCTGGTTGCAAAGCGCATTTCTACTAGTTTGGGCTGCGACGCTGCCAAGCAGCCAGCCAGAGCATTGAGAAACGCAGCAAAGATTTCTTCGTGAGTTGCTTTCTGCATATCATCACCCTCTGACTCGCCCTCTGACTCGCCCTCTGAGTCTGCGCCCGAACGACTACTACTGGCATTTTTAGGAGGGTCAACTGGAAGGGCCCAGTTCCAAGCCTTCGCTTCAGTATCGTACAGTGGCACAAGAGTATCGGGCGATGTCCCGCTGAATTTCTCGTTGATGCGTTGGTTGCGATAAAGGATTTTTCCGAATGGGATTTTAAGGCTGAATACATCGGGAAGAGGAACCGTGAAAGACTGAAATATTTTGGAGAGCAGGTGTCCCAGCGGTTGCGAGGCCTTTGGTGAACCCTCGTGAGTGACCAGACGATTGAGCTCGTCAGAGGTGATCTTGTTCATAGTATGGACGTCGGTGACATCGGGGATAGACAACAACGATGACAATTTGATTCCGTTGTCAACGGTCCTGAAAAAGAACGCCATTTTTTCGTACACAGACAATAATGGCACAAAGAACGAGAGCTTATCGCCACATAATAGCGCCCATCAAAACTCAGTACTCAGTTCGGTGATCTAAGAATAAAACAGACTAGAATAACTTCTGGCATAGGCTAGATAAGACCACTCAACCATCACGAACGTCGCACGGAAGCTACACCAAAAGCTACATGGAAAGGGGAAAATATACATTCTTATCCCAATATCTGTTGAGCCAGAACTGAGAAGCATGTTCCATGCTATTATATGGGGTGAGACGGTTGTCCGCACTTGCACCGAAGCGAGGGACAAGGTTAACAGGTGCTCTGAGCTGTGTCACAGGTATGACATCGCCCACCCAAGTGCCATTCGAACGCTTCACTCGTTTGAGCAAGTGGAGCTGCGTACTTGGCTCACGATCATCAGCACCGGAGCTTTGAGGAACAATGTCAAAGCGATGCACGTAAACCAGAAAGTGGTCCTTCCATGACCAATTCGTGCCACTTTTTCCAACAGCACGCATGATAAGCCTGATTTGGCCAATCGTATGACCTGCGACTTGACAATAAGTAGAGATTCAGCGTGACATAAGATCATAACGTACCACGAAGACCATCTTCTGGCCATAAGTACCTCGCCTCATTGTTAATGATGACTGTGTCATACCGGCCACATGTCCAGGGATCAGAAGGAGGTGCACAATTGAGGGTCTGCGCAGGCCGTATGATGCTAGCATCGTGGAAATCAGTGTCCTGCACCCGAAGTTTAAACCAGACTTGAAGTTTGTCGAAGGGAAGTGAAGCAGTAGGTCCAGCTCTTCTAGCCCCCCCAATAGTATGTATGTGATCCCTCCCATGAGTAGCCTCACGACGAAGAAAGTCGGCAATAGCTGGTCGTAAGTCAGGAAGACCAAACTTGATGGCAGCATCGTCAACAGATATGTTTCTGATAGAAGGATCGTAGGTGAGGTGAAACGCTGTGCGTTCGACAACGAACGAGCGCACTGGCACAGGGACTGTCCCCACTTCCCTGTGCTGGAGGACCTTGGCAATTCTGAAGTAATTTGTGATTGGACGCGAATGTCCAGGGTGTTTCATTGTCGTAAGAAGGTCTGCTGGGATATCGCGATCGTCGTCCACGTCGAAATCAACATTCTCATCCTTCTCATCGTCATCTGGATCCTGCTGCCCTGAGTCTGGGACATTGTCGAGCAGACTCATAGCGAGGTCAAAGCGGCGGCATTTATCAGCACGGTCAAGATGGCAACATATCTGGGGATCGTAATTATTATTATTGCTCGAGCGAGCAGGACTTTTGATTTCCGTTATGTGGGCATGCTCCGTGGTATCGGCTGTCCATTGCAGAGGAACTCCAGTGTTCCTTATGCTTGGAACTATGGACTGCATAAGCTCAAGCTTCGGTATGTACCAGTTCTCGATAACGCCGCCACGCTGACCACGACGAAATCCACCCTCTATAATAGCATCTTTGTTAGCGTGAAAATGATCAAGTGCAGTGGAAATTCGGGCGAGTAGGATGTCGTCAATTACGGGTGACTGTACGAGATATCGAAAGTCCATCAGAGCTCGTACAGCAATCATCACTGCGCTAGGAATTGCATCCGCACTGACTGCAATGATCGAGCGTTGAATGTCGCGTTGAGTACGTCCTGTAACCTGTTTGAGTTTTGAAATCCCACCATGAAAATGACGGAACCCAGTGACAGCCTGCAACACAGAGAACCGAAAGTCAATCTCTGTATCACCTACTGCGCAAATAAGCCACTTTGCGTCATGGTCGTAGAACTCGCGATGAATGAGGTGAAGAAATTCAGGAGTGAGAAAATGTGATGGATCACTGAGGACCCAATCCATCCAGAATGGTGCGTTCACGCCATTCAAACGAAACTTCTGTGCTTCGCGAAAAAATATCTCGATGTCGTTGGGATCAGCTTTACTCCGCGCAATGTCCAGCTGGGAGAGTGTAGTTGCTCGTGTGCGAGGCTCATGACGGAAAGGGTCTCCAAACTGTTTGTACATGGCCGTAGTGACTGGGGAGGTTTTCCCGCCAACAGCAGCCAGCATCATGGCCTCCGGGGTATCGACAATGTAGCTCGCAAGTGGTGTAAAACAGTAGCGACTGTGTCCAACAGGGTCCGATAGCATGACTCCTTCGCGAGCAGCCAGCTTGAGTGGACGGAGAACAATATCTAAGCATTCGTGAATGAGGCGATCCTCAAGTACGCCTCGCATGCGTTTTTTCTTGTAGATGAATTTTGGGACGGGAAGTAGAGCGGTAAGCACAAAGGCATTCGAAGACGACTTGAGTCGCGTGGACATGCCTATGTTGGCAAGACTAATCAGAAGGGGGTGTGCAACTCTGTCACCCGTCATGGTTGATATATTCGTCTTGTCAGACGATAAGATGGTCCCCAGGAGTGTTGCACCTCTTGGTAGGGCCGACTGTCCGAAAATCGATAAGTATGACGACTCGCACAGATGAAACTATACGTACCTGCATATTCCACGCATCATCACTAGTCATCCACTCTGAATATACACGGCACAGCCGCTGCGCAGTGCTATACACCCTGCGAGGCGTAAAGTCTAGATGATCGTGAAAGGCAGGGTGGTTGAGAAGGCCCGAAATACAATCTAAGGGATCACGCCAATACAAGACAACGGGCGATTTCGTGGGATGTGCTGTAGGTACTACTTGAGACATCCAGCGCGGGCCACTAGGCAACATTTCCGCTCTGCCACGCAGCTCCTTGGCCGAATGGAACGACAACGGAAGGGTCTTTATCTAAAGAAGACACCTTCAAAAATTGTATGTTATCAAAAAGAATTTATTACTCACCATGTCGAGCAAAAGAAAACTGTCTATCTTCCCCATGCTTAATCCAGAGCGAAGTAGCCATGACCCAACTTCCCAGTCTTTCTGGCCACTGAATGGATAATACGGGTTCGTTGCACGGTGCCTGCTGTTCTCGTCTGAATTGAATACGTCGAGGAACGTGTAGCCCCTGCCGTATGATCGAGCGCAGTCAGGATACGAGTCGATGACTTCTGAGTTACGAGTTGGTGTCCTCTCTTCGTAAGCCTGGCGCTCACTACTACTCCCTCCAAACATCTCATCCCAATCTCCAAAACCACCAGTCTCGATGTCGGGAATAGTATGTGGTCCGTCGTCCATAGTATTAGTACTCACAGGTTCATCGTCCATATCAGACTCAGAGCGCGAGCATATCAAATCCTGCAGCCATGTACTGCAGCCAGAGCGAGGTTGGCTCATGTGCCGAGCAACGGCTACATCATCCTTGAAACCACCTTTCCCGCACGAAGGACACTGGAATGTCATATGTAGTACAATCGACGCGTGAGATTCCGAGAAAGCTGTAAGTAATCCCTTGCGGAATCAATAAGCCATATTCTCAAAACACCCATGTCCAACGTACCAATCCACCTAAATATTTCTAGTGACGTACCATCATTGTCAAATATGCGCCCGCAAAACTCCAATAAGTGGCAAGCGAGCCGAACTTCTAGTGAGCCTCCCAGTAGCGGAATCGCTGACTTGTACGACGTGGTCAATGCTATTGGGTCAATGGTAAGTGACTGATATCTGACTCTTACTAGGCACTGCTCGTTAACGTGTGTACAGACCATCAATGACGTTGACGACTGTGAAGCCAACCTGATCATGGATCTCGCAAGGGCCCGACGCGATATAGTTAATGCGGAGAAAAAACTTGCTGATTGCATCGTGCGAGAGCAAGAGGTCATGACCAGTCTTTCAAGATACAAGTCTGTCATTTCCAAGCGGAAGCTTGACAAGGCCGATGTAGGACTAGGCCATATGCATGTCACATTCAAAAAACACGGTCTTTCACATCAGCCAGCACACGGTTCTCTTGGTAAGTACTCTTATTATGTATACACTACCAACTAACCTCGTCATAGACTCATTCGCATCCTGCCGTCAGCTAACGATCCAGTTGGACTGATGCCTCGTCCCTTCTTTCAAATTGTGTCAAATAGTTTGTATTTAGCAGTACTGGTACTAGGCTAGTAGTATAGTAAATATGGACATAAAATTTTGTTCCATCTCGACGCTTGAATTGTGTGACTTCTAGTACGAAATGTTTGATCCCGCGGAACCAATTCATGTAGGTGAGGAGAAGACAACGGCGAGCGTAGTATACAGACTGTTATTGTAATTGATTGTAAAACAGCTGCAACATCCTAAGGCGACCGGTCCGCTTGTTAAATTTTAATTTTACTAAGTACTTTCAGGTACTACTACTACTAGCGCTCGAGGTAGCTATTTTATTGACAAACACTGTGAGGCTGTACATCCTGTGAGCTCTGTCTCTCTGTGGGTTACTGTTGAAAAAAATTCAATGCCCGGGAGAAATGTGCTGTGAGTGCTGTCCTGCTGTGGGTTACTGTAGGTTACTGTCGAAAAAATTTGATGCCCCGGAGAAATGTGCTGTGAGCGCTGTCCCTCTGTGGGTTACTGTGGGAAACTGTCAAAAATGTCGATGTCTGTGGGGAAATTTGTAGTTTACAGATGTTTATAAAAAAACAAAAAACAAATCCTTAAACCCGCTTTGTAAATGTCAGCGGAACATCCCTGACACCTAATGTAATAGTCATTTTGGCCTGCATGACTCTTTTGCGCCATTCCTCTTTGGTTTCCTTTTCTCCCGTAGAGACATTGACAGACAGGAGAGGCTCAACGCGCCAGTCGCGTAGAAGCAGTACTAGGAAACAAACGGCCTCAGTTGTCGCGAATTTCTTGCCAAGGCAGGAGCGTGGGCCTGGAAGCAGCATTGAATGACCATTGACATAGACGAAACCGGCAGCATGGTACATACCGACACTAAAACCAGTGTGATCTTCGCCGCCTGCAATATATGCATTGCTCGTGCTGTTCGCATACCAACGTGCAGGTTTGAACTCTTCGGGGTCAGGGAAATATTCTGGGTTGTAATCTAGTCATCC